TTAGCTATGGTGCCTTTTCTTAAGCTGCTTTTTGACTGTGAGCAAACTGTTTTTTCTATCCATGCAATAATACACCAGACGTGTTTCTCTGTATCCAAACATGTGGGTGTTTTGCAGAGGTTAATGGAAATTAAATTAAAGCTGAATAATACTGATTATAATGCAAGAGTGTGCAAGCAAAACTAATTAATACAACTGGCAGCATAGCTCAATCTTGCCCTGTGACACCACTCTCTCTCTCCTTCTCCTTCAACCACATTTTTTTTTCCTAAGCAGGGACCCAAAGCTACTTGTTTTATACAGTCTTGAATGGATAGATATACATCAGCATCTCTCTTTTTGCACTCAGGACTTAAATTATATCCAATCCTCTGGAAAGAAGTGAAAAGCTATTATGTTCTCCCTTTTTCCTCCTTGGTTATGAATATCCTAGCTCTACCATTAGGATTACAGTATTTCCTAGATTTTAGCGTTTTTCTGTGCAAGGAGATGTTACAAATAAACATGGACTTTATCTTGATTAAGTGGCATATGTCAACAAATGTAATTTCTGGTGGACCAGCTCACTTTTTATCTTATATTAATGATCCAACTTGCCATTAGTTTACCAAAGGGAAGAAGAATGGCTTTTAACTATGGATAGTATGCACTAGACTGCCTGAAAAAAAGAATTGAAAATCAGAAGGAAAGATTTGAAAACTGGAGGGTGGTAACAGGACAGAATGAAATCTTGCATCCCTGCATCTTAGAGTATATCTTATTTCTTGCTAGCTTTTCCACATGCTTCACTGAGCCAGTCTGGAAAGGAGGCACCTGAGAAGGCACTGGTGCAATGAGGGATGCTTGGCCTGAGGATAATGAAGGTTTAGAGTATCAAAACTAAACAGTGTATTGAGTTCAAAGGCTCCTCTTGCAAGGTACTGTCTGATCCCAGATTTTGAAGCATCCTGTTTGTAGGGTTCCCTTGGGCTGTTACACGCCTGACTGCTGGACTGTGGCTTCCTTGTGTCCTTAAATCCTTCTTCTTTTTTGGCACATCTGAAAGCCATTCCTTTGATACTACTCTTCTTTTTCCACAGGAAACAAACCAGTTGTTGTGTCAGCATCCTGGCCAGGAATCAAAGAGAACAAGCAACTTGTCAGGCAACAGCCAGGGCACATACAGTTAGGATGGGGATGATATTTCAGCAAGAGCCTTTCTGGTAGTGAGGAAAAATATAATGAAAATTTAATGCAATTTTGGAAAAAATAAGAAGCATTATCTGTAAAAGTTATGAGTTTATTTCTATGGCAGAGTCAAACAACACCACAGCTACTTTTCCATCCTGTGCTCTCCAGTTCAGTCAGCAATAAGAGCTTTTTTTATCTATGTATTCTAGCTGCCTCATAGCTTCCTCATGGGATCTTAGTAGAGAAAGTGTCTCAGATTCCCAGTGTCTTCCACTCTAGCCATGACAGCAACCACAAACTCTCCCATTTATAATTACAGAAGTATGACTGTATTTTGACCTCATAATCCCTCTTTGGCAAATACACTGATTTCTTATAGGAATATATATATTTTACCTTCTTTCATATGACCAAGCAGTCCATAAGCCACAACCTGAGGACATCAGATACAGAAACATTCTGATTCCATGAATAGCAGATGTGGGAACCATTCATTACACCTTTGCCCTCTTTAAGCTCAGCTTTAAAAGCTAACCCAACCACAAACACAGAAATGTGAAATAAGTGGAGTAATAAATAGACAGTTTAAAAATGCTCTTTATTTTTAATTTCAAATTTAAGGTCAATCTTCATTAGTTTGCAGAGTACAAAAATGTTCCCATTAGTCTAGTTTCAATTTAGATGTATTTGTAAATCAAACTAAGCCTGCTTTTTCAAATACCATTTTTGTGCACAAATTATATATCTCATTCTTTTCATGAAGCATGTAAAACAAATTTCAGTTCAAATATTAAAATATTTTACACTTGGGTATCAGAATTACAAACAGAAATTAAAGGTTGTCAAAAAAAAAAAAAAAAAGTGCCTGAACTGCAGAAGTACACACTAAAGACCTTACAATATACACATGCAGAGACATGCACAAATAATATCTATGTATATGAACATACTATGAAGACAAAAATACCTGTGACCTGGTTTTTATGAAATCTCAGTAATTCAACTAACAAGAATGCATGTTTAATGTAGTACTCATATATTGCTTATGCAATAATTAGTGTTTCCTGTTTATGTCAGTACAAAATCATCTCAGTCACACATTAAAATTGTATGTCTTCCAGTCAATGTCCTACAGTGATGCTGAAATGATGAAATACATTAAGGAAAATCATAAGGGAGAAGATGAAGGAATAGTGCAAGATAAAGATGTACTGAGTCTTTGAAAAGATTAATTTGCCTCATGATGAATTGGTAACTGTAAATCCTCTCTCTTCTTTAGACAATATCCTCTTTTTGAATGATTCCATTTCTCATATGGTGGAAGAAGATATATCAATATATATATAGGAAAATCTGATGTGTTGGAATTGTGGAAACATGACAAAGTTCCTTTCTGTTTAAAACCTGGACTTAGATAAATCATAAGAACTCACCATCTGTTGGCAAATCATTCCAGCAGAAAGTGTGTTGTTTCAGTGTGCCTGTAGAAATCTTCAGGTGCATCCAAGAGATATCAAACAAATTATGTCTTTTTGGGGAAAATTACATTTTAAAAATCCTGGCATATAAGACAGAGATCCCCACAGGTCCTTCATCTGAAAGTCTATGTCTTTTAACATGGTTATTTTATTTGATGTCTTTGAGCCATTTGTATTTGAAATATGATGCTCAAAGAACAGACCCTGTAAATAAGACTTCTCATTTCTAGGGAGGCCACCTGGAGTGAAAATGTCCAGGTGATTCTTTGGGCTCGCTTCTTCCACTAAAACCAACACGGGAATCTATTATGAGGATGTTAAATTGTCTATAGTGGTATAGACTAGATTCTGTCACCCTAATTATACAGAGTGGGGTATTATTTTATAAATTGGTTGTTTCTACTTGTGGTTATGTCTAGTAGAAGGAAAGTAAACATAAGTATATTCCAATCTGTGTACAGAGACGAGATCTACATCTCCACAACTTGCTCTTAGTTTTATTAAGGTCATTGGAAGTTTGCACATCAAACACTAAGAAGCCACCCAGGACACAATGTAATTTCTTTTCAGTTACTAATGCCTAATGAATAAGAACAGTAATGTATTACATGAGGAGTGTGTATAAAATTGCTTGCTACTAAACATGGCTTTTACCACAGAAGTTGGATCCAATCTTTGAATGCCATAAAGTTAAGTTTCAGGATATAAGCAGGTTTAGGGGATCTTGGAGTAGCTCAGGAGCATTATCATGAGCAGTCCAGAGCAGGCAGCATCCAGCACTCTCCAGCTGCCACCCTGACGTGGGATGTGCTCAGCATGAGCAAGGTCTGTGCTGTTGCCCAGATAATTGTGTACCAAGGCCATTTCCTGCAAACCATCCTGTCACATCTCATGCCTGGAATACAAGACTCAAGCGCTCAGGATCATTAATCACTTTCTGTAGCTTTCTTGTATCATACAAGTTTATACTGCACTCTCTCTGCCAGTAAATCCTTTTAGAATATGCTATGGTATGCAAAATTCTGTCTCTAACTCTGGATTCCAATTTGCCTTTTTGTTGGAGTAATTAATAAACAATTCCTATTGCATAGACTTGTTGTACAGCAAGGAAAGTAACTCACACACCTAAGCAGCAAGCTATTAAAATGATCCTAATACAGAATAAACTAGGGTTCAGTTCACAATCCTATTCTTGTATGCCTGTTTTGAATAGTTCTTTTAAATGACACTTTAAGGATACTAATACACATCCACATAAATATATGGATGTATATTATGGATATATGGATATATGTCTGATAGGGGAGGCAAATAAATTTACCTCTTTTATCTTCATACACAGGGAAACTCACAGAGAATATATATTATTACTTCCATATTAAGAAGTAATATGTTGAATTAATTCCTGGACTTCATTATACTGAACATTTATATTCCTTTTAGATATATATTTACTATAATCGTGGAGTACTGTGGTACAGGATGCTCACAATGTATTAAATAAATTCTGCACAGTGAATTAATTATGTCTTATCAAAGAAAGTTAACTTTTTGAACTGACATTAGAATATGACTTTAAAAATTGTGGTTATTTTCTTGTAATGTTAATGGTAACTTTTTTCCTGGTCAGACTGGGCTTGAACATAATCAAAGGGGCATTTATAAAACAACCAAGTAGCCACAACTCTACTTGCTAGTTGAGACTAGGACCTTCAAGTAAGGCTGACCAATATGAAAGCTACTATTTTTAAGACCAAAATTTTGTCAATATGAACAATAAATTAAAACTAAGTAATTGAACATTTAATATATTAAAACATTACTGTATGACTTAACTATATATAACCTATACATCTAGTTGAAAAGAGATTTAGTGGAAGACTAGACTTTAGTCTCACTTTCTTGATATGTCTGGGTTTGTGTTTTAAAATATGTGATTGCTTTAAATTAACTCTGTGGGTTTGAATGTGCACACTCAAAACCGCTTTATGACTAAAAATGCAGATTAATTTGTTCATTTCCTGATTTTAATTGTGATGAGCTGTACCCCTTATTATTCAGCCTCATCTTAATAGCAATGTGGAACAGGACATACACATGGAATAACATGGAAGTCAGTAAAAAACAAATATCATTAATTTCTGTGTATGTCTGTGTAGTGCCACTGCTTTAGACAAAAGATGTCTACAGGGCTTGCAGCTGCTGTCCACAAGACCTGATTCTGGAGGCACTCAGTAGCAGCTGCCTGCTGTATCCAACCTGGAACACCTAGAGATCTTCATGTCTTCAGTGACTGACATTTAAAGTGCAGTGAAGTCTTGTTAAGTCCATCCTCACCTGCAATTTTCTTCATTAATTGGCACAATTCTTTGTTTTTCTTCTTTCACTTTGTCTGATGCCTTTTGTAACATTAATGGTGACTTCTTGCGTGGACGTTTTCTGTGTGTCCCATTTACTCTGTGAGAGTTTTAAACAGTACAGTGAGTTCCATGATGACAACAGAAAGAGTCACTGATGATTAAACCCTAATTTACAAAAACAGTTCTATGTAATAAACAGAACATCTCCAGCGTCCTTCACACAGCACTGTGATGCAGAGCAACTGTCTCATTCAGCATGGACACAAGCTTTTATTTGCTGCAAAGGCAGTGGATATCAGTAGGCTTTGGATCAACCTTCTTGCCTATAATTATCATCTCTGCAGGTGTGTACTGTAAAGGCAGAGCAAATAAATCTGGTTTCAGTCCAAAAGTGAAAATTAGAGATTCCTTTTGATGTCACTGTGAACTGTGCATCACTAGCCTGAGCTGGAATTTTCTGTACTTGATTTTATATTTCTGATGTGAAAATATAGTTTTAAAGTAACACTTACTTCTGCCTGCATACAAGATCCAAGCACAATATATACCTTTCAGAGATTCATCAGTTTATGTTCAATATTCAAAAAAGTCAGTCTGTCTGAGGCATGCAAGTGCATCTCTAATTTAAATTTATACTTTTCCATCTCCCAGACTGTCTGCTTGTTGCCATAAGCAATGCACCATAATGCACAGGAAGCTGGATAGGTCTAATAAAGTGTACCCAGATCTGGGCTGATGGTGGCACATAGCTGGGTTAGTTGGGTTTGATTATTGCATTGCCAGTGTTCCATGAGACTATTTGTCGTGTGAGGAATGCCAGGTAAATTAGGCATTATTTACATGGTAAGAGTGCCAGGTAAAATAATGTCTGATAAAGTTCAGACACTGACATACTGGAAGGTTCATACATATCACAGAGAAACACCTAGAATTAATCTGTTGCTGTGTATTATTTCACATTTCTGCAGCCTGAATACACCAGCTCCTTTCCTATTTGCTCCTCCAGTGCTACTGCTCATGCAACTTCTTGCCAAAGACTAAAATGAGAATCCAACCAGATTATTGTCAGTCAGGGTCATTATCTGGATACCACCTTTTCTTAGGAGAGGTACCTGACTAACCTGTTACCTTCACTGGTATTAACACTCCTTTCTTTATTACCATCTTCATCATCATCATCATCATCTTTTACTTCAAAATTGTTTTGACATTATGGTCATGAGAGGATAATAAAAATTCCCAGACACGGTGTCAAACCTTTTCCCTTTGAACAGCACAAGATGTACCCTGTCATAACCAAGTATCACAGGATAAGGCAGATGGCTGCTTTAGAGCTTGATACAGGAGAAAGTGAGAAACAGAGAGGTGGCATGATTTATCCCCTGCTAGCCCACAGGGTGATGGCACTACCCAAGCCCTGCAAGAGCACCCTGTGCTGCATTGCACTGTATTCTACAGCATGTCGAGACAAAAGAAAAACTGTATCAATGTGAATGTTCAGGTAAATAAAATGGGTACATCTTGAGCTGCAGGCGATAATCACCTTTTCAACTCTAGGCATCTAAACTTAAGGTGTTCACATTATATGCTCACCTTATGGTTCCCTAAACAGTGGAAAAACAGAGATGCAGAATAGCAGACCAGAGCTGCAGCCTACATTGGATACTACACTTTCTCTCTGGGCATATATATTTCTTTTCTGACTATAAGAAGTTTAGAGAGCTTCTTATGTACCTGCATTGGATGTGGAGAATAATGTAAAGGCTTTATCATCAGATTTTTTTTGCACTGAGCTGCAACAGCACAGATACATGTTACTGAATGTATCTCAGCTAGAAAATGCAGGGGAGTATCTTCAGTTATGGGGCCTCAGGGCAGGAACCCACACTTCACTGAGTAGTACCATTACAGTCAACACCCACATGATTAATATGTTGTGGGAATTTGCCCTTACTTCCTACTAAGTGCAATACAGAAGTAATTTTCCATTCAATTGCAAAATTAGACAATTTTCTCTAACAGTAGGACAGGTACACACTGTAATTATAAATTGTGACCAAGTCTTTTTCAAATTGGATTAATAATTATGTTGTTCTATTCGACCATATCCAACCTCACTAATTAGAATTTCTCTGTGGGCTAGTGGCGATGACAAGCATTTGGGCTTTTCATTTACAGAAATCCCATGGCTCTAGATGTCATGCTGCTGTGGGATGTGTCCACCTGGAGGTGCAGTATCTCATGAAAAGATACAGCAGTATCTTTTATGTCACCTGGGAATATCTTTGTTCTATAGCAATACAAAAGATAATAATACGATGGAGGTATAAACTGATGTGCTGTGTGTTGGCAAATGCAAGATGAAGTTCAAACCAAATTCCCTTTTTCATTTGCTCAGATCCCTTGGTTTAAGGATGTGACTATGAAGATGGCACATCTTCTATGGGGTGGGTGTAGCTGTTCTGCCACATGCTGTGCTGAGGCACTTTCTGTGGAAAAATGTCAAAAGACAAAGCTCAGCAAGGAGGAGTGCTCACACTGGCAGTAATTCAGCAGGAACAAACTGTGCATGCCTGAGCAGCAGGGACACCAGAGGAGCTTGTTTCATGTCTGAGAGAGGCAAGAATCAAAGGCTGGAATTGCACAGAGGTGTTGCAGTCATTCTGTTTAAAACAATGCAGCTAACAGGAATTAAGCCAAAAGAATGACCCAAATAGTGACCAAAAGCTGAAATTCGCTTGAATATGTGAAAACACATATTCCTTTTCATGCACCGAGTAGAATGCTAACAAAGCAAAACCTGTACAATCTTTACATGTATATAAAGTCACTCAAACTCCATTTAAGTGTGAAATTGTGTCAAATGAAACTTTTTTCCCCCCATTCTCAAAGAGAACAATAAAATATGACTTAACAGGGGAGCGAGGTCAGAGGAGGCTCTTCCTTTGTGTCCTGGGATGCTCAGCAGGCTGTACTGTCTCCTCCCCCATGGGGACACCCATCAGGTAAGCTTTATTCCACAGTAATACTATTGCTTATGCATTTTGATACCAGTGTTTTTATCAACAGCAGTTTGTGGACCTTACTCTGTCCAAGAGGCAAGAAATTGCACTATTTTTGAATGTGGAGTCTCGCTGAATTTGCCCAGACTTTCAGTGCAATGCATGCCAGTTTTGCATCAGGGATTTTGGTCCTGACGAGAATTACTGCACCTCTGGCACCTCACAAGACTCGGAGTGCCAGATTGCTGACTCTGAAATGTTGTCTGTGAAGGTCTTCCAGGATCTCAGACAGGCAGACAATACTGAGTGAGAAAGGGAAGGCCCCAGGCCCACTTACATCTGCAGACAACACAGAAAGAAAGGCGGGGGTCTCCCTTCCCTAATTTTTTATGTGACAGAAGAACTGGTGTAGTCAACAGGATTGCCATGGAGAAACAGTTACAGAAGTATGAATGTGCTCCTTCCCAGGCAGGCAAGGAATGGGCTCAAAAATTCTGGAAAGACAAAGCAATTATTTGTGCAGTATTGGAGGCTCACTTATCTTACGTGCAAAAAGGAATCAAAGAGTCCTTCTTCCCTCAAATATACAGGACATGCTGCTTTATCATGAAATCAGAAAATGAAGTATTAAAGTCATCATTGGCTGTTGAGAGGGAAATAAAAGAAAGATTGGAAACCCAAAAACGAGCTTATTACTGAGAAAGAAAATTTTAAGATTTTACGCGCTTTGATAGAGCACAGGGGAAAAACAATTATTGTAGAAATTAGGTAGGAAAAAACCATTGCAGTGTGAAACTAAATCTGTGAGAGGAAATAGAGGGCAGGAAAACAACTGAATTGTTACTATCTTTGGAAACTGAGCAGCTGCACAAACAGTTACAGAAAGAAAAGGAGATAAAGCAAAAACCGGAAGAAAAGGTAAAAATTATGCTTAAGAGGGCTGCCAATCCAGCCAGCATTGTACAGGTAAGAAAACCAATTGTATCCTTTGGAGAATGGTGAAGAAGATGAGGGGACAGTGGCCACTCACCATTGCCTGCAGGAGACTGAATGCCAATATTACACCTTTAACTACTGCTGTGCCAAATTTTGTGGAACTGTAATGCAAATTCAGGGAGCATCCTATTCACAGAGGGCAAAACTAGACATAAAAGATGTTATTTATGATTCCACTCTGGGAATACCTCAAGGCTCAATTCACCCAGAAGGAAGTGCAGTGTACCTTTGACACATTCCCACAAGGATGTAAACATTCACCCATGACTGCACCTTTTGTGATTGCCAAACTTTTACAGTCTCACTCTCCCCAGATGTGAAATTAGATGATATTGTAGTAAGAGGAGACTCCCCTGAAAAAGAAGAAGCAGCAACAACAGCATGGCAAGCACTTCTCAAAGTAGAAATTGAGATTCCCCCAGAAATGCCAAGGACCATGTAAAGGACTTTATCTGCTACATCTGCAGATAACCCAGAAGACAAGGAAGTCTCCCTTCCTCAAATTATTACCTAACACCTTCTCATATAAGAAACCAAGGAAGCAGTAAACCAGCCAGAGATTTTGGCTTTTTTTAATCTGCAGCAGCTCAGCAGTTGTTATGCAAACAGGGCAGCAAGTGGAAGGCTGTAGGAGGCAGGGGGGTGGGCAGGCAGCTGTGACAGGAGAAGGCTGGTCTTTGGTATAGCCCCAAAGCCTTGTTCTTACAACGTATGCAATGTACACAACATGTAAGTGAGGGGGAAAAGGGGGGAAGGATCCAATCCAAAACCCACTGAACTTATTGAAAAGATACCCATTGACTTTTTCAAGCTTCATGTCCAGCTTTGAATGAACCAGCGTTCATGCAGTGCACATATTTTAAGCAGAACAGCAATTAAGGGAAAACATGTTCCTTTTTGGATAATTAATCTAAGTAGTTTGCACGATACATGCCACAGCTGGACTGAGTTGGAAACAAATGAGTGTGGGGGCTGTTCTTTACTATAGCATGTGTGTGTGTGTTACTCTGATTGACAAATAAATCATCAATTCTGTGGCTGTTCAGGCATGAAGCATTTCCAGAGGTGCTCAGCTCAATCATGCCATGCCTGTAGTGCAGCCTGGCACCAATTTCTCATATTTCAAGACATTGAATACAGTTTCACTGCAAAGAGAAAAGCTGTCACAAAAGTAATTTAGACCTGGTTGAAGCTAGTGCTGGGCATTAGGGAACATAATTATGCTCATACCTCTGTGGTCCTGAAGCCATTCTGTTTCTGTGTTGCAGTTCCAGTGCTGTGAACTATGGGGTTTGCACACTGAGAGCCACAGTTGCTCCTCTTCTCAGGGTTCAGCATTCCAGCTGTGGCTGATGCTGTAGATACACCTGTGTGAGCCAATTTCCCATCCTCCAGAAGACCTAGTAGGGACACATGGGATAGGGCATTTAATACTGAGCAGCAAATTGCAGCTGGCTCTGGTGTCCCTCTATTTTGCCTCATTTTGTGATCGTGTCAGTGATGCAAGGTATGGTACAGTACCACAGTGAGAGCAGTCTGCCTTCCTGTGGCATCTTCATCCTCACATTTGACATCATTTGGCCTTTTTCCTATGGTCCACTGCTCTGAGAAACATTGGCTCAGGAAATCTTGGGAAAAAGTCAATGAGTGCAGGATGTCAGTAGATTTTTGTCACCTGCAGGTCTCCACTGACTTCTCTACACACACGCCTCCTTGTGTGACCAAGAGTTGAACTTAGGATCCAGAGAAGACCCCCTTAAATCTGTTCCCGTTCTGGGAAATGAAGAGGTTAGATGTGAGCATAACAGATGAGACCAATATGGATGGAAAGGGTGCTCTATGCATGGCCTTGCCTTGAATATTTTTTTCATTTGAAGTTGAAAAATTTAAAAAAAATTATTTCATGCTGTTTTGTCTATCAGCAATCAAATAGATGAGTAATTTGCTTTTTGGTCTAGCTGTGTGGATACACATGAATCATACAATATGATATTGGACAGCATAGATGAATTTTCCCATCTTACACATTAACAAAAATTACATTTATGGTGGGTGCAGAGCACTCAACATCTGGTTGCAACAATGGGTCTGAAATCCAAATATAAGGAGTAAGTGGGATGCATGACTGTTGCTCTCAATTTAGTTTTTGTCAAAGCTTATTTATGAAAAGCTTTATGTTAAAAAGATAAACAAAGAAGGCAAATTTACTAACTGGTAATGCAGGTATCAAACCTAGAAAAATTAAGGAGTCACAGACACTAAAGGAGAAAAAAAGTATGTGAAAAACCAATGACAAGCCATTGCTGTATGAAGTGACATTGTGTCATCAAAATCTTCTACATGAATCAGGTAGGAATTCAAGAGCTGTGTTAAAGATATTTACAAGGAAGCAAAGTCCTGAATTCTTTTTCAGAAATGTGTAAGAAAAGATGATTTGTCAGTAGAAAGCAACATTTGTCAGTATTAGCTAGCAAAGGCAATGACTGGACTCAATAAAGTTTCACCCAAATATTCAAAGCCTTGGTCTTGAAAATATTTAAAATTTTGTGAAACTAGAAGGTCTTTAAGATGTCTTCTGACTCAAGCCATTCTATGATTCTGTGATTTAAGAAGTCTGAATACAAACTAGTCACTGCATTTCCCTCAGCAGGCAGAAGATGGAGGCAGAGTATTCCAAAGACACTTCAACTTGTACTGGTGGTTACTAATAATGATGTCGTCTAGTTTTCGATAGAAAAAAAATTGAGCTGAAACTTGAAAATAATATATTATAATTTATTTTTAAAAAAATACTTCTGTCTTTGGAAACTGCCTTTTCTGCTAGATATAAAAACTGATGTTCTTGTGTCTAAGTTTAGATGCAACTTCAGTAAGGCAACAGCAAACTTCACCTCTCCTGCATCTCCCAGAATTCCCCACCTAGTTATGTTTTAGGTCTTACCTCTCCCTGTCAGTCCACAGGACCAGAGGAGAGGCAAAAAATGCCTGGTGCAGAGCAGTAAGTGGCACAGGCTGATGTTGTAGACAAAAGCAGCTGTCAGGAAGGGAGATGGAGAGGCAATGAGCCACGTGTGAGTCAGAGCTCTCAACCAGGAGTCCACTGCTTCACCTTGCAGTGGAGCTCTGAGAACAAGCTTGAGCACAGCTTTCAACAGGCAAACTGCAGGAATTACACACTAATTCCATTAATTGAGCCTTTGACATTTCAAACATCCAAATGATGAGGTTTTCCTTCTGTGGAGTCATCATATGAAATTGCTTTCCACCATGTATCTCTTTGGCCATCTGGCCTCTGACTAAATTGTTTGGTAAATGATCTGTCAGCTAAAAAGCCATTTTGTTATTAAGTCCAATTGTTCATTTATCAGATTGTGTTGCATCTTTTGGTCTTGCACAGAAAACTTTTTCTTACATTAATCCATTTCCAGAGGCAGATGGAAAATCTCAATCCTGAAAATGGTATATCTGGATCATTTTTGTTGCTGTTACTTTGCAGCCTGGGCATACTTGCTGCATCCTGCATTGCAGGGGTGTGCCCTTTTTTGCAATACTTGTCAAATATAAACCAGGTGTCAGTATTTGAGCCTTCCAGTATCACTACTATATTTTTATATGGATGACCTAGTGGTCACCAATACTAGACAAAAAGATTTTTTATTTTATCCTGTAATATGTTTGCTATTCTGAAATTAAGAAACTATTTAGAATTCATTTTCATCAGCAAATAGATGATTTAGACAGTGGGCAACAGTTTAATGGCTTCAGTGACTTGCTCTTTATGTATGAACACCAAGAAGACATTACAGTGAGAATACATAAGCAGTGGTGTTCAGAGCACGAGATTTGTTGGCAATCCATAAAGCAACACCTATTTTATAGACTAGATATATAACACAAAATGACGATTGCAAAACAGATACTATGTTTTAAAAGGATTAGGAACACAAGGTTGCTTTTAAAATAGCAAATATTTTTGCATTGCTATTTGGGATTTGCCACAGTACACAAAAATGAAGAGTTAACTCAATTAAGAGTTAATTCAAAAGCCAGCAGGGTGGCAATACTGAGGGTCTTGCCTCAGTGTGGTTTAAAACAAGCAAACTGTTGAGGTATTTATGCCATCCTCACAACAGGGGTTTGGTAAACAATCTCCTTGATCTTTCATGGTAGAGCTTCAGTTTATATCAGTGCTGTTAAATCACTGTAGACATTTAAATTAATGTTGTTCAGTAATGTTGTTTTCATTCTCATCTTCTCATTCATGGCACCCCTGCCAAAAGTCTGTGGGCCTCTTTAGGCCAGGGGAAACAGCAGATCCCACCTCAATGGTCTGTCAAATACATATTTTACTTTCAAATGAACTGGCAAGGCTCCAATATTCTAAAGGCTCCATTCCCAAAACCTAGGTTTCTGGGTGATTATTAAATGCCCATGATTGCAATGGAGACCCTTCCCTCAGGAATGGCTGGTTGGGGTTTGGGGACTGCCAGGCTGCTCCCTCTGTGGGGAGGAATGGATGACAAGTGACAGGTATTTCACTGCATGTAATCAGGTTTATTTGTGAGGAACACACACGAGTTGTCTCTCAATGGCCACAGGGAGAATACCCCTGCAGCAGCCCCACTGCTCATAAATTCATAAATCCAAGTCTACTTTTCCAGTACAAAGTCTGCTTAAAAAAACTTGTTCTCCCGTGGCAGCGTTTACCACCTTCCTCTTTGCTTGCTGGGCTGCACAGGCTCGCTAAGTCTTGCCTTTCTTACCCTGCCAATAGAAATCCCTTAGGCTGGAACTTGACAAATGCATTTTTCAGCAGCATCAGGGGGAAAAAAGGGTTATTTTAAACTGAAATCAATCCTAGACTTTATTCTTCCCCCAGTGACGCAAGCAGTCAGAATGGCACAACCTGGGAGGTAGCACAGGAATCAGAACAAGCAGCTGAAAGCAGCTTAGCTTGGTGTGCTCTTCAATAAAACAAAACAAACGCAATAATTTTAAAATTTTGGATGGGTTTTCATAAATTGTCAGACAGCATCGTCCTGGTTTTGTAGTTTAGGAGACAGATATTTAAAATTGCAGTCTGAATAATTGCTCACAGACTTGCAAGCTTATGTCCATTCAAAATGCTTAAATCATATAGCTCTAGACTTCCACCCGCCCCCAACATTTACCTGGGGAGGGAGCTGTCTAAGAAAGCTTTAAAAATATTTATTTTAGTAAACAGGGTGTTCAACACAGAGAAATCAGTGAAAATGTAAAATACAGAATGAAAATTTAAGACATTAGACCTGTATTTCTTATTTTTTCTGGTTTCTTTTATTATGAAGACAACACTAATGTAAACAAAGCTAAGCATTGCATACATGCTGCTCTAGTTCTTCGTATGGCCTGGTTACACTAAGAATTCAAATTATTCTTAACAGAATTTCATAAAGAGGAGAGGAAATTTTTACTCTTTCTAACCAGATTTTTGTATCACCTTTGTATAAAGATGATGTAAAAAGGTGGGAAATAATCTAATTTTTTTCAGTTTGTGAATGTAAAACCAGTCTAAAAAGCAAAGTTGTGTCATGGATTGACATCTGGCACAGAGAGACAGAAAAGAGATCTAGGAGGCACAATTCTGTAGCCCTTAACTGTCAGGACATAGGAAACTTCTCAAACCACAAATAACACACAGGTAGCTCTGCCTGGATCTCCTGCATAGGCTTAATCCAAAGAGTAAATCTCAGCAAGGTTCAAGATGACCTGAAAATTTCTGTGACTAAGAAAATCAGCAATGCTGCAGTAGTTAATGCTGTCAAGAAGTTTGGGCAGCGTATGAAACCTTGTAGTGAGGAGACAAAGTTAATCTTAGCCAAAATAATCAACTATTTGTGGAGAAAAATATTCCACGTGTGTTTGCCACGGTATTTTCCCAATTCATTTTAAAGCAACAGGTAGTGAGTGAAGCAGGACATGAATTCTGACCCAAACAAGCTCTAGATCTGACCCAGTACCCATGAGACCCTGTGCTGTCAGGTGTTCTGTTATGGAGTAACAAGCATACATTTGTTTAGAGGAGGTAGCTGTTGATTAGCTAAATTTATACCTTTGGAACTGACAATGAACAAACCAGTAGGGTTCCATTTTCTAATTCAGCAACACCTTTTTTTATTTATCATGGCTGTTATCTCATGTATAATGCCACGTGGTATGCCAGAAACAGATCACTCCTTCCTCCAACCTGAAAACCTAACACACAAATAGCAAAGCTCTGAAGTGCTTTTTATGGTACTGGATTTTAGAAGGATAGAGACTGGGAGCATTTGCTTTTCCACATGCAAATATACTAGCTGTGTTTCAATAAAGCCTGTGCAAAATACATGTTAAAAATTATACACTCCATGCATAATACCTT